TACTAATTTATAGTGTAAATGTGTAACCTTTTACAAAGTCTAAATTAACACTAATGCGATTGTATTAGACATTCGAGTAAAAAATATAATATTTTTAGAGTTACGTTATTATTACACTGCCAAATAATGTAATATAGAGTTAATAATTGGTGCATTTTACACTGAATATCAACTCTTAAATATTTACCAACTACACTACTCGATCCATATTTTTTACTGTGTATGTATTGCATTATTTTCAGAAAATAAAACAAAATTAACATAACATTGAGAAACATAACCTTAATTATTATAATATTAAATGTCAGTGGGATTTCTTATGTGGAACATAGTACCTACATATTTTAATTTTTTTAAACATTTTATGATTTTATAATATAAAAATTAAGTTATTAACAAATGGTTATGCTAAGGGATTTTAATGTTATTATTACCTGTTGTTCAGTAACAAATTATTAACAAACTCTTTATTGTTAAATGGTGTTTAATGTTTTATAAGTTTTACTACTCAAGTTATTATTATTAAGAAAGTTAAAATATTTTCCCATACTGATAAAATCCTGGCAAAACAAAGTCACCCCAAATTCTTACTGGCAAACATTTAATTCCCAAGGCAAGGTGGTCTAATTTTTCACTGTAATGTCGAACGATTTGTACAAAAGGTATTGAGTTGTGTGCCACTGGTACCACTTGTTGCCCCTTTTGTTGTTTTAAATTATCGGTCTCTTTCTAATAAATGGTGTATGTACTTTTGGAGTGCTTCAAGGAGGTAACCGATACGCCTTTTCGGAAGCTTGAATTGCTTATTGTTGTCCATTAAAAACGTCAATTAAATCATAAAAGAGGCTGAACTTTGAAGTCAGCATTTATAAGTATGTTTTGAAATAAAACTATTGTGATCTATACAATTATTTAGAGTGTGTTTTTTGGTTTTCTTAATATTCAGTTGACATTTTCAAAATATAGGTTTACAAAACAGAGAAAAGTTTCTTTAAACTCAAAATCCTTTTTGTTTTTTTCAATATTCCATCTTCTCTCAAGAACACTAAAAACATCTTGTTTCCTGCCGCTAATAATTTTTCATCAAGAGAGTTAACTATTTTATTTACCTTTTTCAGTGAAACCATTGGCAAAAAAGAAATTTAAAAAACAAAATATTTTTCAATCACCAAAACACAAAACTTAATGATCGAAGTAAAAAGGTCATATGTAATAATGGGTATCGTGTAGCGTTTGATAATACAGGGCGTCATGCCGAGCATTGTTCCCGAACAACTTCGCCAAACAATTGACGAAGTTCGACATCGAAACTTAAACAAAACGGGCGCATACAATCGAGTGGCCCCCGATTGTTCCGACGCTATTTTTTTAATTTCAAGAACCGATGCAATCTCGATGAGAAACTACACGGACGTGGGGTATTTTCTTTTGAAACGAAAAAATTCTCATGTGTATATGAAATGGAAAGGGTGCTGTAAGAAATACATTAGTTTGCCATGAAATCCGTTTGAAAAACATTGAAGAAAGTTGTGCAAAATTTTCTATAAATGTGCTATGTTATCCAAGATAGTTGGATTAGTTGTTTAAGTCAATTTTCTATATTTTGTTGGGAACAGTAAGATTTTATATTTAACCATTTGCACAATTGTCGAGAAAAGAGTTGAAATCTGTTGTTAAAAATATTTCAAAAATAAATGTTGCTCTTTGGTACAATTTTTAAAATAATTCGTATAAATATAGTATAACTTTGATTTAGAATATAAATTTTGCAATATTGGACTATTTGTTCGGGAGTGAAGCATCACACCACCTAAGATAACCAATTAAATGATTTCCCAATTAAAATAAGACGCCGGCCGGTCGCTCAACTGCAATCTGCATCATCAGTTTGCAGTTCTAGTTAGTGGTGTATCATTGTGGTAGGTATTTGCAAAATTGTTCAGGGGCTGGAATAAATCAATAATTATGACCTGGTGATCAAATGAGGATAAAAAGTGTTTTTATGTTCCAACAGTGCCACATTATTGATCAGCTTACTATTTACTTTAGTTTGTAATTTATGTTTTCAGTTTATATTAACATTTGTCCTATTATAAGTGTAGACGCACACATGTTGAATTATATCCCAATATTATTAGAATTAGCTATAGGAATTTAAACAAACTCAGCTAGTTATAAATATAATTGTGGTTATGTATAAATTATTGTAGGTTACATTGTGCAGTCATTGAGTAAAGTGTGTTCTTTACTCAATGGTGCAGTTGTCAAGTTGAGTTGTCGAAATTCGTAGTTAAAAATGCAATTAATTTGGCTTTGGTGGTGCTTGGATGAGTAAAAAAGTAGTTAAATATAGGTTGCTTTGCGGCCCTGAAGAGAAAGTATTCCTAGTGGATAATAATCTTCGCTTTGAAAAGAATTTATACAAAAGAAATTAAAATTTATTGTGAACGTAAATGTTGTCCAATGGTGAATAATGTGAAAATAATGTGTGATGTAATATTTATAAAACCAAATTCGTTACTTTTTTAATCCAAAAATGTCCATAAGGCGATGTACTTTTTCTTCCATTGTGGCATTTGGCATAATTTCATTAAAATGAAGTTTTGCCCTCAAAAGGGCTTTTACATTCGAATTCGTTGCTATTATTTTTGGTATAATTATCTTTTTATTTATAATTGACAAGTAAATTATCAATAATAAATATTATTGTCAATTTGACAGTGTCCAAGTATTTAATTAATTAATTAAATTCTTTAGCAGAAGTACCATTTTTAAATATTAAAAATACTAAGTCAAACTGGCATAAGCCACCAACCTAACAAAAAAACACGAGTCCAGATAAAAAAAAATGAACTGGAGGTATTAATAATTTAGTTTCAATTGCCTTTGTAAATAAATTGGAGAAATTATTCTTAAACAATGTTTTCTTAATATATTATTATTATTATATGTGCCACAATTTGTGCAATTTCACCACAAAATATTATATTAAAAAAGTCTCTAAAAACTCATTTACTTAGACAAATTATATAAGCCGATTAGATTAAAATATCTTCAAATGTCAATTATATTAAAAACTATGTAAGTTTTTAATATAATAAGTTTACTACAATTTTTTGCTACAATTTACCACAAATTGTTGCTGTCACCTTTGTTTGTTGAACAAATTCATAAAATCCAAAAAAAAATTTCTGTGTGGGAATACAACTATGTATGTCAAAAATCGAATATTTTTTTTTCTTCCGAGACTAAAAAATTGGTTTTTATGCACCTCTAGAAATTGCTCACCAAATTTATATACATGCATTAATAACACAGTACGACAAAATTTGATTTTTGGTCCCTCCCATGAAAAATTTCTACAGATTCTAAAAATAGAGTAAAAAAAATGATACCCGTGTCTCGGCGTTTTTTCACATCACGTCATAATTTTTTTTTAAGGGCTATCCAATAAAATGTTATACACACTATTCGCGACATATTTTAATAGACTCGATAACAGCTGGACTGCATAGTTAAAAATATATATATTTACTAAATGGATAGGCAACCATTATAGATGCATTTTAAAATTATTTTAATCTTATTCAGAGTTTTGCACATTTAAGAAATATATCAAACGGTTTACTTTTAAACCAAGTAACAAAATGTTTCAATTTTAAGCCAATCAAAATGCTTTAAAGTCGGGTGATTAAAGTTTTTATTTATTCAATTTTTTGTAAAAATTGAGCTTTGTTGAATTAACATTTTTAATACTAAAAATTAAAAGATATTTAAATGAATTGATTTAAGTCTTAGAGCCGTTTCACATGAGACTGATAAAGTCCTGACGATCAGTCCTGATGATCAGTCCTGATGACTAGGGGCCATTGTTTAAATGAACTTTTTCACATGTCCTGCGTATCATCGGTTGACTGATTCGTCGGCACGGGCATCGGGACAGCCCGTGCGCACTGCGTACCGTCAGGACTATTAAGGGCTGTTAGTTATATGGAGTATTTCATATGGTACGTACGGTCAGCAGAAACAGTGTTGCACAATAAGTAGTTTACGCATTGATACAGAAATTGTAATAAGTAGCATCGAACAGCGAAGATGCATCTGGTATGCAGATGATGAGAACTACAAAAAAAGGGATGCAAAGAACAAAGCATTTGAAGAACTAGCGGAAATAGTAGTTCCGGATTTTGAAAATATTGCGGAAGCAAAAAAGAACTTTTAAAATTTTGCGTTGTATTATTCTCTTTATTCAAAAAGCGTCAACAGCGCAGTTCTGGAGGCGCTGAGAACCGTCTCGTAGTAGACATTTCCGTACTATACGTTGCTTGTGAAACAATGGCCATGACCGTCAGTCCGTATCATCAGGACTGATCGTCAGGACTTTATCAGTCGCATGTGAAACGGCTCTTAAAGCAAGTGTACCTAAAACATATTTAATTTAAGTAAAAAAATTATTTAAGTATACGAAGTCAATTGAAACAGCAAAAAAAACAAAAAATTTACACATCTGCGGCATTTATACATAAAAAGCATTGTTTTCAAAACAATCTTTATTTTTGGGAAACAAAAAAGCAGACAACTACAAAGAAATTGTTGCAGAAATGATTTCTGCTTTTCAGGACATGAAAGTACATATGTCACTGAAAATACATTTTCTCCATGCTCATTTGGATACAAATGTGTTTCATTAAAAAAAAAAAAATTATTTAAAAAAAAATCAAAATATAAACTTTTTTTGTATTTGTTTTTTGTATTGTGTAAAAACATACAATATTTACAAAAAAATATATTTTTAACCGAGTAAAAAATGTACAATCTGTATAGGTAAGCATAAATAATAGGAATGACGGCTTAAAATTTTTTTATGACGTGATCTCGCAAAACTGTGAGACACGGGTACGTTTTTTTTACCTCTATTTTCAAAATCTGCTAAAATTTTTCATGGGAGGGAAATCGTGTTGTACTGTGTAATTTATTAATCATAACATTATTTTTTTCAGGTTTCTTCTATAAACAGGGTATTAAGAAATCTGGCGGCCCAAAAGGAGCAATCCGTGTCGAATCCTCCGGTTTCCGCCGGAAGTGACACGATGTACGATAAACTGCGTCTCCTGAACGGCAACCAGGGAAACTGGAGGTCCACACCCTGGTATTCCCCTGGAAACAACTCGTTTCCCCTGCAACCCCTCAGTCCACCTCCAACTATTTTAACCGATGAAATAACAACCAAAAAAGGTAAGACAAATTTAGATTATTTGTTTGTACAACTTACACTTAAATCAGGAAGGTTGGATTGTACTTTGTAAAAAAGTATTAAAAACAGTGATTTATCCTTTTTTCTTACTGTTCAAAACAGTAGAAAAGGCCCAAATTGGCCTACTGTCGGCATGCCATTGTGCACAATGTGTACAAAACGGCTTCGACTCTCATTCAACTCATCTCAAATTTGCTAAAGTTGTTAAAAGTTTGCGTGAAACCGAACGACAGCGCATACAAAGAACGGAAAATGTAGCTCTTTTGTTAAAGTGATTTGCCTCGGAGTACGAGATGCTTGATCCTTGGTGTTGTTAAGATATCTATCTCGGTTAGTGGGGTTTAGGATTGCTCCCAATTCTGTTTGTGTTTTTATTGTTTAGTTTTTAATTGACCACGCCATTCCAAAGTCATAAAAACTTACTTAAAATTTAGTAAAATATATACCTTGAAAATTAATAACAAAAAAATACAAATTACTAAATTTTAGAGAAAAAAAAAATAAACAAAGTTTCGACACAACATTAGTCTCAACACAAGTTTATTTATAAACCTATAGGTTGTGAGTTTTGTGTGATAATGGAGCCTAAAAGAAATAATTTTAAACAAAATATAGACTTTCTTCAACTTACTATAGAAGAGTTAACAAAATTGTAAATAATTATTTATCTACAAATCTTAAAACAGTCCCCTCACATTTAATTAATTTGGTAAGCATCAATAGGTTTTATCACAGAACAGATGAGTTTTAGGTTAGTTATTTTAAAAATAAGAAGTAATTTTAATTAATTTTACTAATTTTGTTCATTATTATAAATATAAAACTGACTGCAGTTTCTTGTTCGGGACCCTTTGGTGACTTAAAAATGATATTTACCAAAATCCTAGCAGCTCCACTTTTCGAAATTTTTTGAAAATTCATGATATTTTTTTAAATTTTTGTTTATTTCAAAGTGTACACTGATTTTTATAACATTATAGTATATTATTAAGGAGACTTAAAGAATACTTTTTAATACTGTTCACATCATTTGATTTGTACATGGTGAGCCAAAAATCTCTAATTTTTAATAAAGCAAAAGCGTAAATTCATGATTTTGGCATAACACGCAAAAAAGATTTATCCCCATTTTTTAGATATTTCTACGTTTATCAGGTTACAAAATGGCATTCTTATTAAACTTTTATAAAAAAAATAGATTTTTAATAAAATTAAATAAAATAACGCTTAGAGAATATTTAGGCTTTTTAGTAGGTTTCAATTTTAAACGAAAAACTGGTTAAAGTTTTTTGATCGGCACTCTTTGGAGATTTAAAAATGATATTTACCAATAAAAATATCTAAAAAAACATGGGTTGGTATATCTTTTTTGCGTGTTATGCCAAAATTATGAATTTACGCCTTTGCTTTATTAAAAGAAGCGATTTTTGGCTAACCCTGTATATATTAAATGATGTGCACAGTATAAAAAGTATTCTCCAAATCTCCTTAACAATATACTCCAATATTATAAAAATCGGTGTACAAATGTGTACTCTGTCAAAGGTAGACATTAAGATAAACAAAAATTTAAAAGAAAATCATGAATTTTCAAAAAATTTCGAAAAGAGGAGCAGCTAGGATTTTGGTAAATATCATTTTTAAGTCACCAAAGGGTCCCGAACAAGAAACTGCAATCAGTTTTTGGCGGCATTTTTATGTGACTTAAACTTCGTTCAGGCACACCGTGTATAATGCGTTACATTCCAAATTTAAACCAAAACCAAACAGTAGGTAAATTAAACACTTGCTGTTTATTCTAACAAAAGGAAATGCCATTAATTTTATTAATTTGTTTTATTCCAAAAATAAGGTAGTTTCAACAAAACAATAATTAAACATTATATTATTTTATATTTAAAAATATTTTAAATCAATTTCAAACAAAATAAAGAAAACATATTTTTTTCAAGGGTGGTGTAAAAAGGTGTAGAAATAGGCAATGAAAAGTGCTTACAGCTTAGGTATCTTAATCGTTTAGGTAAACAGTGTCGAATAAAGGCCATTAATCCATTAGGCTGCCGGGGCGAAGCAAAGCAGATCAAAGTATAAATTTAATTGAAAGTCTTAGGTGGTTATCAACTGATAGTGAATTAGAGCGGTTATCAAAGAGACCGTGGCCCCTTTTGCGGCTGTGCCTCGGGGCGGGCGCCCGTTTGTAACATTGTATCGCAACTGTTTTGCCTCGCTGCAAGTGACAGATTTGTTAAAAATCGCAAACAATTTCGCTTGCCGCTCCGGGACATGTGCTAATTGAATTTTCGACATTTCGAACGTTTAAATAATTAAACCGGAATCCGCAAAACGGACGGCTAATTAAATTATTACGCATTAATTAAAATTCGTTCGCGTTCGCGTTCCTTTGTGTAACGAATTCATTTCGCCCCGGTCAGATTTTTGTATTGCGCTTATTAAACGCCTCGTAAACTCATTTTTATTCCGCTAAACATACACATTTTTGTTTTATAAATAATCAAAAGAAGTGTTTTTATTAAGGGACACAGAAAAAAATCTAACATAGTAAGTACCAAGAACAGCGCTGTCATTGAATGCATTAAAATTGAAGCAATCTAAATTGTTATTTGCTCAAATAATTACTATTAAACCGAAATAGGGAAATATTTTGCCTAAATGTCAAGGATTTTATTAAGTTAAATGTACCTATACATAGTATACATACAATAGTAACGTTATTAAATAAATCAAATTAGTAATTAATGCAATAACATTCTAACATTCTAACAAATAAATATCAATAGATTTAGGAGCGATAACTTTTGTTATTAATTTAAAAACAGTAAACGATTATAAACCAAGTGCTAACTACCTATTGGTAATAAGGGAACTGTTATTCAGGAATACGGATTACAAGATCCCATTAGTTTAATGGCTCACCCATTCATGCTATGCTAGCGTTTTTTATGTGTAGTATCAGATACTAAGTATCTGCATTTAAAGAGTTTGATAAATAAATAATGGTAGGCCATGACAGTAAATTCAGTGTTACCAATTTAGTAAATTAATAATTATAATTAATTAATGTTTTAACAAATTTTAATGATTTTATAATATAAAAATTCAGTTATTAACAAATAGACTGTTTTATTAAAAAATTAAGAAAAATTATATGGTAAATTAACGGAAAAAAAATATTTTTTATTTGAGTGTAAGCATACATCCATGGATTTAAAAAAATGCATTTTTTAATATAATCTTTACATACACTCCCTTTTCGTCCAACAATTGCTTTTGTTACGGCAAAAAGATCATTTTTATAAAAATTATTTATCCACAAACGCTGCTTTCAGTTATAACATTTGCATTAATTATAAAGTAAATTTACGTTATGTTTATAAAAATAACACTCTTCCAGATGCAGAGAGGCATAAATATAGTTATTATTATTTTTCCAAAAAAAAAAACAGTTCTATACCGTTTACAAAAACGTTTTGTAGTATTCCTGAAACCCTAATGGTATTATTCATAAAAATTTTGTAAATTTTAAAAATAATAATTTATAATATTAATAAAATTTAACAATATAGCAAAAAAATTAACTCATAGTATATGATGCACAAAATAAAAAAAAATTTGAACTCACTTTTTAAACAAAAAGTCTGTTTTGTTTATAGAATAGACCTTAAATATTTCTTTATTCTTTATTTTCTAACTAAAATAAAAATTAATTTGAATTACAACGATAGTAATTTAAAAAAGGCAAATATGCCATAGTAAAATGAACAAATTTTACTATAACAACTGCGCATTACTTTATGTAAGCGCAATTCACACACAACTAGATTTAACAAAAACATTTTAAGTTCGACAAAGATTTAATATAAACATAAATTATTTCTTATTGCCATGACAATATGATAACAAGTATTACTTTCTTGCATGAACATTTTTTTTATAAAAGCTCAACATTGCTGCTTCATTATAGTAAATGAGAATTTTATTAACAGTAAAAAAGTTTATTCTGTAAATAAAAATAATCTCATTACTTTGACAAATCGTAGGTTTTTGTCCCAATAAGACACTGAAAATTTAATAAAAAAGGTAACTAGGTGGTACATTTTTTTATAGCCATTACAATTTTAAATTTAAGTTAAATAATATTATTTTATTAATCGTTTACAAAATTAGTTTCATTATAATTTTCAGTGCATGTACATTTTTCTGAATGTACTACTGTAACATTATTTGTTAAGGAATGTTTAATTTAATTGATCAAGTGAAATAAATTAGTATAATATTTATTCATCGATTTATATTTTAACATATAATTAAATTGGGTTAACGTATTGTAACTGATATTAAAAAAACAAATACCTATTGTAAAAATTTTGTTTGGATTTTTTAAAATTCATTCTGAACAACTTACGTAACTGCTATCATGGGGTCCCTACTTACCCCACTGAAAAAGGTAAGGCTTAAAGAAAATATAAATGCAATTAATGATACTTTTATTAAAAAAAAACAAAATATCACGATGACCTTTTTCAACTTGGTCATAGAATTTACATTTTAATACATCAATGGAAGTAGTCATTAGGTTATTAATAAGAATTCCTTAGAATATTTTTTTAAAGTTTAGTTTTATAATTTTTTGCCAAATTTTTAAGTTGGACCTTCAGCACTCTTCACCTTTTTTCCATGCTGCTGATGGACTTTTTTCCATTTTAACATTGAAAACACTTGAAAATTTGGTAAAACATTCTTTATTATTTTTGATTTTCCTTCATCAATGTTTCTTTACTATATTAAAAAGTATTATTCTTTGATTTCGTTCTATAGGTATATTCCTTAGATTTATTTTTTTAAGACAGAGGGTTGGTATTCCACACTGTCCATTGTTCATATTGTCTCTAAAAATTTTGAAAATATTTTTCTTTGGTTATGTTCAAAGATTTTAAAGTAATCGACTTACCTGTTGTTCAGTAACAAATTATTAACAAGGTTATTGAGTTAAAAATCCCAAAACAAAAACAAAATTAACAAAATAAAAACTGTCTATGTTAACAGCTGCCGCCATTTAAAACATTTAATGCTACGTTGCCAATGTGCGATGAATCAAACCTTTTGAAAATAAATGTTCTTTCTATAATTAAAATATTTTTGACAAATTGACATCAAAAGCTAATGTAATGTATTATGTATTATGTCAGTTTGTAAATTTGTTTTCACAAGCAATGGTTTAAATAAAACCACAATATTAGGCTTTATTCTTAACTGGAATACGCTATAGCTGCTTATGCAGGATTACTTCCTACTTCAAAAATCAGCACACGCGCGGCTCGGCGTCATGCATCAAACAAAGAAGAAAACGACGTCTGTTGTGCGACGCAAAAAGCGTCCTCTTTCCGCTGCTATTGACGCCCCAAATCAAAGTGTCAACAAACAAATGGCATTAGAAGTCTTCGATATATAAAAGGACCCTTTGGGGATCAATCGATAACGCGCTACGTCTCGCAAACGTCACTCAAATTACGTCACGAGAGACAGAAGAGTTATTTTATTTTGTGATGGTGAAATTAAAAGTCAGTTTACAAGGTATTCGTTTTTATTACAATAATTTATTCCACATTCTACTGATAAACCTGCACATAAGACTGGCTGAAAGGCGTGTAAACTGCAGAACTGTACGCTGACGAGGCTATCGGTACTGCCTGCACCAGAGGCAAGGCCTCGTACACTTCGGGAACCTCCTGGATGTTGGCGAAAGTGGGGATTGCTTGGATGGGGAGTTTCCTGGGTTCAGCCGCCAGTCTGCTGTTTGCCAGGGCCACCAAACGCTGGCCTTGCGGAGCCAGGATGAGTTTTTCCCTTTGGGGCACCACCACGTAGTAGGGACCCGGTTGTGGGGCTTGAGCGGGTTCCTGCTCGGCGTCATCGATGTTTTCGGCCTTAAAATGGGTTTGTTAGTGAGTTTGAAGGGTTTTTGGGTTGGTTTTTGTTACCTCGGGTTCCACAGTCGTCGTTTGCTCGGTGGTTACTTCTGTTTCGGTTGCTTGTGGTTCCTGGGTTTGCTGTTGCAATCTAAAATATATTTATCTAATTACGTAAAGTTATCGAGAAAATGTACAACTTTTACCTTTGCGGTAAGTTGAATTCTGCCCCCGATGGTCTCCAGCCGCTCCCTTCGTATGGCGCAGTCGATTGGCGGGCCGATACGGGCCTGTACGATCGGGGGTTTTCCGCAGACACCATGGCTACCACCACGAGGACGAAAGCAACAAGGAACTAAAAAATAAATAAAAAAATATACCGACTAAATATTACATAATTTTCGTACGTCTGTTACAGCATAAAAATCCCACTTTTCCCCATAATAAGCTGTATATTTTCTTGTTATCATTTTGATTCAGTTTACTAATAATAAACATACGTACCTTCATGTTGGTGTTTGTTGTAGTGTCAGTTGTTTTACTGATATCAGTCTACTCGACTGCAATTGTTTTTATATTTAATCGAAGGCTCGTACGTGATTCGTTTAACCTATTGTAAGGTGATTCTTTAAACTTATTTTAATTGTTTTAAATGATTTAGTATTCCTTTGGATTCTTATCTGGCATTGACCCATACTTGAAGAATGTGCCCGATGAATAATTATTCAACTTGAAGAAGATTTCATTTTTGAATGGTAAAATTGTAGTTAATCAATTAGACAGTAACTAAATATTCATTAGGAGAAGGACATTAATAAACCGTTGAGTATAAATTAGGAATGAACCGTCCTGTTGAGTGGTTAAGTGATCCTTAGGGATGATGGGGGTGCGTGTTAACCATGCCTGACCCGCAACACGGCGAGGGGACGAAACGTTCCCGTTTTACAAATACAAATTTCGGGTGTATTGCCATAGACAATTTAGGGAATATAAGTGAATTGACCCCAGTAAGTGCCATGTTACCTAATAGACATGGTATAAAATTCACAGTATGAAAACTAACTGTATTATAAACATTACATCCACGTGTAATGTGGATTGCCTACTTCCAGTATATAGGATATTTCCATACTCTCAGGAACCAGAGTTGCAAATAATGCAATATTTTTTTTATACATTAAGATTTTAATACACATTAGGGTCATTCCACGTTACTCGGGGATTTTTGTCCCGCCCGACACAATTAAAAATTGCGAGTAAAAACTACACGTTATAAAATTTATTTTAAAATATTGTTTATTATGCTATTAATAAGTTATAAGCACAATAAAAAAGTTATTTATGTCATTAGGTTAAGAAGTAAGGCTTTTTGTGCTAAGCTCAAGGTTTGAAGGCCGACGCGTAGCGGAGGCCTACAATTGAGCGAAGCACAAAAAGGCACTTCTTGGCCGAATGGCATACAACATTTTATCTTCTAAGCACTTTATTTAGGTCAATTTAACTCAACATCAAAGCGTCCTAACCTCACTTTTTTAGAATCTCATTTATTTATTAGCTAAAGATTACATTAAATGTACAATAATTATAATAATTATTATTGCTTTTAGAATCAGTAATAGTTTGACAACACCTAGCTACATGATTTAAGTAGAAATGGATTTTTGCTATTACATTGAATTCAATTAATTGTTTAATAAATAGGTAGGTATTTAATTTCAATTTGTTTGGATTTTTATTTAAAAAATAGGTAGTTTGGAATGTTTAAGCTGTGTTTAACATTTAATTTCACTGAAAACTTATATCAAATAAAAACTTAAAGATAATTTAAATCGTAGAAAAATAATCGTGCGTTTTCTTGGCTGCCTATAGGTTATAACCTCACTTTTTGTTTTATTATTCATATTTAATTTTACAATAATTTAATGAAAAATATTAAACATTAACAGTCAAACAAACAAATTAGTGCTTATTATAAATAAATTAAACCAGTTAAGTACGTTAATTTCCTAGAAAAGGAGTAATTTGTCAAAACAATACCCCTAGCGAGAAAAAATCGAACTAATTACTTGCCTCATAAAAATTTTTATGGGCCTAGGCCATAACAAGGTATTTCTTTATCGAATGTTGACAACAATAAAGTTTAAATTATAGACCGCGTGGAGATAAATAATATTATAAAATATTAATTTAACTTGTGGTTTTTACTCACAATTTTTAATTGTGACGGGCGGGACAAAAATTACCGAGTAACGTGGAATGCCCCATTACTAAAATAATGAGTAACGTGTTTAATTTTTATTATGCATTACTTCTTTTTTAATGAAAATTATGTTAATTACTCAATACATTCTCATAACAATTTTTTTTAAATGATAAGGTATTCAAATTACATTACCATTAAAAAAATGACGATTGCATTATTTTTACATTGCATTAACATTTTTGCAACTCAGGAACAACACCTTTATTTGGAAGATATTTCCGTTACAAAGGGGCCGACCAAGCTTGGCTAGACAATATCAAAACAACCGACATATACATATTCTGGATTTACATCTATTTTACGTAGATTACCATGTACAAAAGTAACGAATAATGGGATTACAACTTCCTTCAACTGGAGTACTAATACGCCATTCAAAACTTATACCTATACCGGAAATTCCCTATTATATTAATTACTATCAAGTATTTCGAAGAAAAGTTTGCTAATCTCAGCTTATTTAATCAGTTTTTAAAAGTGTGATGAATCTGATCAATTACAATCGCCATTTTCAAACTGAAATTATCGGATACAGTAAATACAGTTATTTTTGTGAGGCTTATTCAAAAGATACGCTATCAATCAATTGTTGACACGATTGACAAAAACCATCCTTCAACATGTCAGATCAATCTGTCAACAAGCCTTTGAGGAATTGCCACCGCATCCTCCGTATTCTCCAGACTTGGCTCCCTGTGACCTCTTCCTTCTTTCAGAAGGGAAATAATCTTCGCCTTGACGAAAAATAACATTTTCATAGGTACTCATTTGACATTGGAACGCCCCTTTTCCAAACTCTACAAATCACAAAGTGTCGAACAACGTTATAATCGAGAAGGGATCTTTGCTTTTGATAGTTTAATATGGTTTATCTCTTGACAATACCGTAGGATTATGCGGCTTCGTTTCATAATTATAAACGTTTAAACAAGATGCAGGTAAGCAGGAAACGGATTTTGCTGTTTGCAAAGATTTTAGTCTTTTTTTTGTTGCTGAACCAGCTTTGTCTTTGAATTGGCCATATCGTTTCTAGATGCCTAATAAAACAAATAATAATAATTTTTAATGGCGGAATTTGAATTTAAACATTAAAAATGTCGTAATTCATTCTTACATTCAACCAAAATTCTTATTGATCTTTGCTCATTTATTACCACCATAACGTTACTTTTACTAAATATAATAATATACTAATCAATCTGTAGGGTATAATAATTAAACAATTACATGATTTTTCGTTTCGGGTGTTAAAGCAATTTTTTCGGGACTGGTAAAACGGTTGACAGATTGACAGTTTTTTTTCGTATTTCCAATGCGCTAAATTTAATAATTGTCAACAATACATTTAAAGCACAGATTATACATCATTTTTAAATAAATATGTACCTAGTTTTTTTACAAAAGAGAGGAAGGCAGAAGTCTTACTCGACAAATTTTGTTCAATTGCACGTTATTTGTGTTTTACGTTGCAAGGAAAAAATTAAAAAACTATTTTAGTAGGTTAATCGATTTCGATTGATTATTCCTTATATCATTGATTAAGAAACTCAACGCTTAAATGCTTATATATGTAGTTACGTTAGTGTGTGTACATTTCTTGGTGCAGAATTAACTAATAATAACCCAATATAATTTATATTTAAGTTTGGACAATTTTAAGAAATTAGTAAAAAATTATTTTTGCACAAACATAACCTTAAAATCAACCATTTTTATGTTTGAGTTCTCTAAAAAACGCCGACAACTGGATTTTAAACAACAAAAATTACCTACGAATTCATGACAACATAATATTATATATAATACATAATATAATGGTATTTTACCGTTGAGTGGAGACTTTCTTAATCAACGCTTTTAATATTGCTAAATGCTGTTTTAATTTAGACGACTTATTTGATTGACGATTTTTACTGAATTGAAATGTTTACACTTTTCACGTTAATCACTACTAAAATGTATATTTATTGGTACAATTTATATTTGCAGAGACTGTATGCAATTTATTTCTTCATTCAGATTAACAGTGTTTATTGGAAAACCGGTAAAAACTCAACCCAGGATTTCCTATCGAAATACACCCAACAACACAACAAATCGAGCCACGTATTTTTTTTTCGATATTTTTTAACATTTTCCGGCTTTATTCTCAAAAACACTCGTTTGTAACATAAGTGTTTGACAGCTGATTATTAAAAGTTATACTTTTGTTACGATGATAACAGCCGAGTGGTGGCGCTACTAGCGGTACTTCTTTAGCGTATAGTTAGAGGCACAATGGTCATTTGGAATGTTTTCTTTCATTCATTAGATTAAATGCGAAAAGAACATATTTATTTTTTCACCGTGCACCTTGGTGTTTGTAAATAAACTGGAAACACAGAAGCGAAACAACGTTCAATGTTTACCGCCTTTTAACGGAATTAAAATGCATATCACTCCGTTACGCTGACACAACAGCGGTGGCATCTTTCCAACATCCTCGCACACACGTCCCGAGAGGAAAAGAGATGGAGCGAGTTTCAGACTGGCAGCAGGGGGTTTGTGCACGGTAGCGAGCGGCAAAGGGAATTATTAACGCCCAAACGACTCCATTTCAATAGGAACGACAAAAGAAGAGAGGGACTCTCCCAAGTAACGTGCACACATCCGATATGTTACAACAGTAGGCTACGTCTTCTTTTTCTGAAACAATCGCCTCCCACGATGTCGCAACGTAGTTTTTTTGCATTAACAGGAGAGATTTGAATCCTTGTTGTCTTTTTGCGAGGCGATTCATATACACTCACAGGCAAAATAATCGATCCACACAAATTTCAATCGCAAATAACTTTTTTATTTGATGTCGGATTTAAACAAATATTAAAGAATATTGTAGATACATTAATGGAGAATCGCTCACATTTTAAAAATTACTAAAAAATACACGTACGTTTATAATATACAGGTTTAAACAAAAAGATGTTTTTACCATAACTTTAAGACACTCTGTAGAGTGGCAAAACCGTATATTGTTCTAAATTAAGTTTTAATTATCAAGTCACATCTATTTTTAACAGTTTTGTTTTTGGTTCACCTTGATATATTTATTGTTGTAGAAAATATGGATTTTTTTTAAAAACATTGCAATTTCCAATATTTTTCCTGTATGAAAAACTAAGGTTGCTATGGTCCCTCCAAAGCCTACGGAGGATGACAGTGAAAGTTTTGTTGAATCATGCCATACTTGGACATGTCATATACAGCTTTCAAAACCTATCAAATTGTTTTTTGTAA